CCCGCCACCCCCAAAGAATTGTAAACTTTATGAGAGCAGGAACAATTCTGCAGCTCCATTTACAGCACCTGGAACATGCCATTAATATTTTAAAAATTTAATTTGATGGGTTGAGACTGGAGGATAAGTTGGCAGTTATAGGAGGGGTCCGATTCAGGAATAGAATATAGCAGCCAGTTTCACATAGTAGTTAGCTTTTTTTTTTAAAGCAATTTATTTAGCTGTGCGATAATGCTACATATATAAAAGCTTCCAAAATGTTGAGTGAAAGTGGCTACCTCAAAATAGCCATATGCAAATATACAGCCCCTTAGATAGATATTGTTAGTAACATTTCCTAGTTTAAGAGCTAGCATAAATGGGATTTGGATTTTCTAACCAGCTTTCCAGCTTACTGGTTGAAGATCTGTTACAAATAATTATTTAATTTAAGCCAAAACTCTTATTTTTATTTTAATCGAAAGTCACATCTTGATTAATTTCTCTAGTTCAGTTGGGGACTTAACCTGAGAACATTCGAGAAATCGATGGTTGGCCACATTCAGGCTACCTAGGAAAATCAATTATTTCTAGAAAGTTAAGCAATAAATATAAAATTGGAGATTATCGATTGTCATTGATAGCAATGTTTCCCCAAAATTTTAATTGTAATTTAAGTGTGGTAAAGGGGAAAGGCCACTATGCAGAGTTACTCGGTAATCAGAGTATTTGAATTCTCTTCAGTAATTAACTATGTGATAATTCGTAATTCAGTTTTCTTCCTTGGGCCTTAATTCCATATTTACAAATGAAAGACTTATGGGCAAATATCTCTGAAGTTTCTTCAACTCCTAATGTTTGTAACTTTATTCTATTTAAAAATCCTTAGGCAACTAACAATTCATTGTAGCCTCTTTAAGTCTTAATTTTCTCATCTGAGAAATGAGTTATGATAGGTGAGGTGATGAACGATGTGCAATTTGTAAACATCAGAATACCAGGAATTTAGAGTAGTATATATTAACTGACCAAAAATAGTATTTAAAGCCCTTCATGATCTATCAAAGAAGGGCTGTTCATTCATTTAACAAATATTGAGCGTGTATTATGAGCTGGACACTATTCTGCAGGCTGGGGATATACATCAGTAAGAAAAACCTATGGAACCAATTTCTTGTGGAAGCTGTATCTTCACTTTACCTGGAGGTAATGCACCTGGCTTACTCTAGGGATTTTCTTTTACTTCTGCTATCCTTTGTTTCTCAAAAAGGTGATGAAAAATAATTACCTCCTGACTAGCACTATCCATTCATTCTACTAGGGATTCTGGCTGTCACTTCTCTTAGTCACGAATTTTCAGTTAAGGGTTTTGGATATATACACTATGGCACTATAGATTCATCAGTGGTCTTTTGAGTCTTTTCCAATGGTGAGAAGGTATTACATTGATTTTCCAAAGTCGTACATTTTTATGTGATCTGTGTTGCCACTTGCACAAAGAAGGAAGATGGTGCTCTGGTGGGATTAAGTACCCAGGACCCGAGGAGAACCAAAATTATATAGTCTATTTAGGGAGCAGCCTGACCCTCTTACCTCAGTGCTTAGTTTGCTGAGCTTAACTACCCTATAACACCAAAATCATATTCAATGCCAACATTTGATGGAAAGGCGGGTGAAATGAATAAAGGTTAAATAATTTATGAAACATGTCCTTTTTGAGAAAGAGGCTCATTCTCATATTGCAAACCATAATTGAGCTTTTGCTATCATATAATGCTAAGGACATGCTTTCTCCTTCTCTAGCTTATTTGTAGAAAAGCTTCCCGGCCATCGAGATTACCAACAATGCGCAGTACCCGAAAAGCAGGACATTATGAAGGTATTGCGGGGTCGATTCTCCCCGGTGGGATCAAATGCTTCACAAGTATCCATTATTATCGATTCACCACCCCCTCTTCCTTCATTCCTCTGTCATCCTCTTGAGAGTTTTAAGAACACTAAATCATTCCATTAGCCATGATATTTCGATTGCTTCTTAGACCATTAAATATCATTACTGAGCCACTGTGGGATGTCTAATTGAAATTGAGGTGTGGTGTTGCGGGGGGGTGGTGAGGGGGAAGAAAAAGATCCAGAATGTGCTCAAGCACTTTGTGGCGTGAAGAAGGAATTATTTCACCATTCCTCCTGGAGATTAAGAAAATGGTTGTCTTTCCTTATACTTGTTGGTTTTGACTATTCCGTGCAGTCCTGAACTCCGAAACTAAGTCACTGTTGATTATTAAGAGAACCACAGAGTTCTAGTTATTTTTTTCTTACAGTACTAGCCTAATAGAAAACAAATTGTTTAGGGGGTGGCCTGAAATAATCTTGAATAGGCTACATATATAGTTCCAAATATCTTTAGCTGAGAATATGTCCTTTTAAATAATGTTTTTAATATATTTTTTCATGTATTTTTCTTAAATAGTTTGGATTGATCTTATATGAAGGAAGATAAACAATATATACAAAACCAGTCACAGTATGAAATTTTAAATAACTCTCGAAAGATATCTTACCATAATCTGATGGAATAAAGGCACTCTTACCAGTTATGTCAGGGCTGAGGCGACCTGTGTGCAGAATTCAAATTTTGTCAAATGGGCATTTTTGTTTTTTTTTTTATTTCGATACACACTGATCTAAAAGGTCATTCATTTTCATGCCTTTGTGTAGTATTTCCCCTCAAGACTCTTGTTCATTCAACTTCAGAGAGTTCTGTTGGGAAACCAGAGGTCCCAGGCTACCAATGTGACTCTTACTCTAATTTAGAGTTATTGCTATTTGTACTCACAGGAAAAAAATTCTCCAAAGACATGTAGAATTTTTTGTTTATACTTGTTGGATAATGGATGGGTGGATGGATGGGTGACAAAGGAGTGAGAGAACAGAATTTTAGTGGAAGAACCTGGCTAGAGGCAGGAGTTTTTTATTCTAATCATAACGGCCACTGGCTAGCTGTGATACTGGATAAGCGTTTTACTCTGTCTACGACTTTGCTTCCTCATCTCTAAAAAGGTTAGGGGAAGGAGTTGGTGCTTCGACTAAGATCAGATTTTCTGGCCATTAAGCATCACTAGGATGGTGTTTGAGATCAGATTCCCCAGCCACTTCCCTTTCAATAAACATGTTGATTCAGTAGATCTGAGATTAGGCCCGGAAATCTATATTTTGTATGAAAAGTACCTCAGTGATTTTTACAGTCTGTCAAGCCTAGGGATCCCTATCTATCATGTTCTTCAATGTCCCTTCTAACGATGATGACATACATAAACGTACTATGCAATGTGCAAATCTACTACCTAAAAATGGGGTACCTATCTAAACAAAATACTTATCTAACCAGTGGAGTCAATAAAGGTCTTACAAAGGAGATATTTTCCCCCTTCCCTACTGAGAAGTTATATTTTGGAGCCCTAAAAAGAGAGAATTATTTTTTCACCATCATCTTTGGCTACTTGGGTCTTGATTTCTAACACACATACCAGCTGTTTTTCTTTCTCAGCTGATGATCTGAAAGACTATACTGAAAATCCCACTAATCAATATGTATATATATATTTTTAAAAGAAACTGAAGGAGATTGCATTCCCAAGGACAGATGAATTGAAAAAGGACCTTTTAAAGAAATATAACGTAGAATACCAAGAATATTTGCAAAGCAAAGTAAGTTCAGTTGGTACATTTATTTCATGACTGTTTTCTGTGCAAATATTTTTTTGAATTTCATTTTCATATGAGTTTTTCAAATGTCATATACATTTAAATTAAAAATTAAAGATGCAGTGATGTAACACCAATAAAAAATTCATGCTGATGTCTAGATTAAGCACTTGCACCAAAGATGTGGTATTTTTATTTCCTTACAACATCTACTAAGGCATTGCCTTAGAAAATAGATTTCCTAGAGTGTTTTAAACAGAGCTTTTTGACCAACTCTCGCCAGTGCAACCTTTGAGCCAGGTGACTGCTCTTTACCGATGAATGGAGGCAATAGGAGATAGAGCAGTATATGGTTTCTGGTGCATCTAATTAAGTAGGTCTTGGAAATGTGAATTAAATTCTTGAATATTACAGTCAATATTACATCAAGGTGGAATAATAGCTAACCATATGAGTGAAGTATAATCGTATCACCCAAGGGTGGTGGCCTCTGGATTCTTTAAAATAAAGAGCAAAAATGATAATGATGTCTAAGACTGAAAGATATTGAAAGAAGAAATTGACCAGTCAGTCTGTAGGATACTCCAGTTCAAAACATGAAATCTTAATGTTTATAGAATTATTATGAGAGTCATTTTTGCTTGTTTGTTTGTTTATGTTTTATGCACTCTGGAAGTTGTCACCTTTATCGACTCTCACTTCCGTTCACTCTCATTAACTCTGAACATGGTCACAGAACTCAACTTTTTTTGGGCATAGCCAGAAGTCAGGTTCGAGTGAGGTGTTTTGACAGAGGGAAATCAGAAGATTCCCTCAAGTGTGGATACTGATGATTCGATTTGAACTATGGAAAATAAAAATGATTTTGGAGGCTCAGAGAAAGCAAGGGAGAGAAAAGCCCAGTTAAGTCTCCCTTCTACACTCAGCAGTGTGTCCGGTCACCCCCTCGGGAGCTCCCTGGGGGGAATGGCCTCAGCAGCTGTTGCACAGTCTGCCTTTGGTGATACCTGTGACTTCACAGTCCACAATAGTATGGCATGTAGAATCTCTGGGGAAGTAGCGTGGCAGCCTTTATGCCTAGGCGAGATGAACAGACACACCTTTAAGCCCTTGCTACAGATAGCAACCGTATTATCCAGGAGCTTGTTAGAAACGTAGATTCTCAGCCACCACCCCAGACCTGCTGAATCAGAAGGTGCCAGTAACAAGACCCAGGGTGGCTCATGTGCATATCAAAGTGCTGCTGTAAGCAGTGTCCCTCCCCCCACTGCCTTACAGTAGCTCCCAAAGTCTAGTTTTCATCAAAATATTTGAGGAGCTTATTAAACATTTCTATTTTCTCACCTAATATTGCCCAGATATTTTTGTGAAGACTAGGGAACTCAGGAATCTTTCATTTTAAAATTCCTGGTTTGTTCTGCTGGAGATGATTGGACCACATTTTGAGAACTGTTTCTTAGTGATCCCCCTTCTCCGTAAAGTTCCAGCTGTAAGGGTTCTAGAGTTGAATGCTAAGGGTTCTAGGGCAGCACTGTCCAATAGAACTTCCTGTGATGATGGAAATGTTCTATGTGGTACTTTGATATGGGAGCCACTAGCCACATGGGACTTACAAAGTAGTTAGCAGGGCTGAGGAACTGGATTTCTAATTTCATTTAATTTTAATAAATTTAAATCACCACATGTGGCTACTGGCTACTATATTAGACAGTGCAGTCTAGGGTGTTGTAACCATTTCTGAGATACTGCCCCATATGATTTGGTTGGTCAGGCTGAGAAGACCATCCTGACCTTGATTTTCTAATATTTGAAAGCACGGGGGAATGGAGGGAACATGATTGTCATGCTTGTCTCTGGTAAAATATGAGTGGATTTAGAACTGCTGCCTGAATCATATTAAGGGGCTTTTGCCGTGATGTTATGTATTTTCCTCACTGTCACACAAGTGTCCCTGGGGGCAGATTATAGTATCTAGCTGTGTGTCTCTCTGTTTTCTAGAGATTGAATGTCTAATCCCAGTTTGATGCCTTTGCCTTGGGAACTAACCTTTTATTTTGGCAACCACATTTTTTTAGAACAAATATAAAGCCGAAATTCTCAAAAAGCTGGAGCATCAGAGATTGATAGAGGCAGAAAGAAAGCGAATCGCTCAGATGCGCCAGCAGCAGCTAGAAACGGAGCAATTCCTGTTTTTTGAAGATCAGCTCAAGAAGCAAGAATTAGCCCGAGGTCAGATGCGAAGCCAGGAAACCCCAGCGCTGTCTGAGCAGATTGATGGGAGTGCTTTGTCCTGCTTTTCCACACACCAGAACAATTCCTTGCTGAATGTGTTTGCTGATCAACCTAATAAAAGTGAAGCAACCAATTACGCTAGCCACTCTCCTCCTGTCAACAGGGCCTTAAAGCCAGCTGCCACTCTAAGCGCTGTTCAAAGTAAGTGAATAAATGTGTCCTTGTGAGATATTAAATCTCTTCTAGTGAAACCATATTTCTGGAACATCTGGGAAGGCTCTCATTTCATTATCAATTGTGGTAGGACCTCTCCACGTGTGTACATGTACACAGAACTAGTCTTTCAGTACCATGTGGCTTTTACTATATGTACCTTAAAATTCAGAAAACATTTCGCTTTGTCCTCTGATCAAGCAGACTCTATAATAAATGGGACTGTATTTAGTCTTGGTATAGAGATTTTAAAAGAATTCCAAGCATTTTTTTCTTTCATGTATTTTAACCAAGAATCATGAATCTTAAAGGTAAACACATGAGAAAGATGTTGAAAAACTTGTTTGTCAAGAATTTTGCTCAGCAATTTGAATTTAAATGGTTAACATTTCCCTGGGCCAAGAGGATCTTGTACACATGGATAGTTAACCTCCAAATGGATTATGTGTTTCTGCCAACAATTAGTGCAGCTTGATTACTGCTATGTCAGTGTTGGCAAGTTTTCAAAATCGAATGCGGCATTCTTCCCAGCAGACACTGTCTGTCAGCTGAGTTTGTTTTTTTCATTTATTTTAAAAGAGTTATGAGAGGCAACCATTTTATAAATTCCTCTACTGCTAATTATTTCTGAAAACATTCTTTTACTTGATTATCACCAACTTTCATAAAGATATAAGTAACATATGGGAAACACAATAAAGAATATTCATCCTATGTCTTATAGGATATATGAGATGTGTTCTATGCAGCCAATGCACTTAATAGTATATCTGCTTTGTGCCAAAGGGAAACTCACACATACTTGTAAATAATTGAGCTGGAGCACAAAGATATAAAGGTGTTTGCACTTTGCCACTTGTTCATAAAATAATTTATATGCAAAGGGTAATTTTACCTTCTTTCTAGTCAACATTTTCTTTTAAGAGTTTTAAACTAACACATGGAAAGTGAAGTATATGATAATTTCATTTTTGATATTTATATTTACTTGCAGTCACTTGCCAAAAACACATTTGAAAAATGAGATGTAATACTTGTTTTTTTAGCTTCTTCTCCCTTTTCTGTTTCTTAGATCTAGTGGTTGAAGGACTGAGATGTGTAGTTTTATCAAGAGATCTTTGCCACAAATTTCTGCTGCTGGCAGAATCTAATACAGTGAGAGGAATAGAAACCTGTGGAATACTCTGTGGAAAACTGGTATGGTCTTTGTTTCATAACTCTCTGTACAGGATACTGTGAAAAGTACTGACGTCCTCGTGTTAAGCAGAACGGAATAAAAGCATCATTAAAAGTTGTAAACATTATGGAATTAACATGTGTTAATTTTATTGAACTATTGTCATGATTCATGGAATTATCCTAGAAAATGGATTATAAAATTCGGGGATGTTATAATAGCTTGTTGTAAAGAATTAAAGTATAGATTAAATCTTTGTTTAAAAAAATGATGGATTACAGGTCTTCAGATTTCTAAGTCAAGTTTTTTGGAAATTGTTAGTTTTTCATACATTCATATAACTACCTCTACTTGTTTTTATCTGTGGCAGATATCATCTTGCTACCCTTTTGCAGACACATGTGGAATAAACCTAGCATTTTGTTGTTTTCTTTAAGGCAGTAGTTTCAACAAACTGAAATGTTATAGCACAGGCCATATATAAGCATGGGAGATTTTATCAGGAATGTCCGATGACAGACAGTGCCAAAGTAGAAGGAAATAAAAGAGAGACGATGCATTTAATTTCCCACTTGTGAGAAAAACGAGTAATGTTTCTTTAGAAGTGCCCTTTCATAGTCTCTTTTGGGTATCAGTCTATATTTCTAGGTCCAGGCACATTTTCAGTCCTAACCATTTAGCTTGGGAACTGTTGTTTTATTGAAAACATAATATGTTTTATTACACACACGTTCTCCTCCTGTATTCCAGTGTTGCGTCATCACTTTTCCTACAGGAGAGAGGAAGCGTAGATGACAAGCACAGGAAAATGACCTGTTATTTCCTCCCCACAGCCACCTTATTTATCAAGGGGGCAATGTGCTATGAATGCTTCCTTCCAAGGACCATGTGTTGACCTTAGTTTAATTCCTTCTTCCCTCCATCCCTTCCTCCCTTCCTTCCTGCTTTCCTTCCTTCATCAGACAAACATTTACTGAGCACCTATATGTGCCAGACACTGTGCTAGGTGTTGGCTTTCAGTAGCCTACAACAGCCACAGTTTTTGCCACATGGCCTATACACAATGTTTGTAATGAACCAGACGGATGATTAATTAGAAATGGGGCTGGGTGCTCTCAATGGGAGTGCAGGGTATCGTGGGAATGTGTAACTAGGAAACTTACCTTGTCTGGGAGGGTCAAGAAGGGCTTCTCTGAGAAGTGATATTTACACTAGGCCTGAAGAATGCATCAAGTTAGCCTGGAGGAGGGGATGGGATGGAGGGAAGAGTTGTAATGAAGGCTGAAGGAAGAGTGCCCAGTTTGCAGGAAAGCCCTGAGGCTAGAGAGGAGTCTTAGGGCTTCTAAGCCCTAAGAGGATGTGCTGTGGAGGGATGGACAGCTTCTCACAGCATAAATATCTCTTACCTAAGGACCCTTCCCTCACTTCACTACTTTATCTTTTCAGCTCTTTTACCTGAGAGGGGTAATTTATTTTTCCTTTCTCTTGATCTAATTGCAAATTACCTTAATTATGGAAAACTCCAGTGAGTCCCCTATGGTAGAAGAAAGTCTCAAGTCTTGAAGCGAAAATATATATAATTAATAAAATAAAAACAAGATCATTAACCTCTATAAACTTTAGAAATATCTTTCAGTAACACCACAGAATTATTTAACTAGGAACTCCCACTTCAAATAAACCTGCTATTATTTTATTCTGATTTTTCCATTACAGAGGTAATATATCAAACATTATTTGTTAACTAAACTTCCATGGGCTAGTCTGGGATGCTAATTTCTATTTATTGTACATTTTTTTTTTCATTGTGAAAATGGGTTTCAAGTTCCAAACAACTGACTGAGATTTTTGACAAATAATCTATCTTCCGGTTTGAGACTTCGTTTCTGCATTGTGATGGGGGGTGAGAGGGTGATAATGCAAGTAATGGGACTCTGTAGTCTTGGAGCAAAATAGTGCCCTTCCTATTTAGGACTTTTTTTTCCCTTTTCTGTCAGATGTTTTTCTCCTCTGTCAGATTATTCTCTTTGCTAATTGTTTTTTAGACACATAATGAATTTACTATTACCCACGTAATTGTGCCAAAGCAGTCTGCAGGACCAGACTATTGTGACGTGGAGAATGTAGAAGAATTATTCAGTGTTCAAGATCAACATGATCTCCTCACTCTGGGTTGGATCCATGTACGTTTGACCTTTTGGGTCTCAGGTTTTGTTTTCATTTTTGTTTTTTGGTATGTGGTGTGCCGTTTTCCTCCCTGAGGAAATTCAGTTTAATTTAAATAGTTTCGTTTCCGTTTTTTCAAGTATAATGTCATCATATTAAAGCATTTTCTTCAATGGTAGGTCATGTCTAAATCTGTCAAATCTGAATTTGTAGAGAGCTCTATTATACTTTTTTCTACTATGCAAAGTTAGAAGAGGGAGAGACATGGAAATTAGTGACTTGTTTTATTGATTTTACATAGTGTAATGATGGCCTAGTCACATTTTTAACTAATTTGACTATACAGTTATTAATGTTCTCTTTTTTTTATGAGATTATTTTATGAAAATTTTGGAAAATGTTTCTTTTAAACCAGTGTTTGTACATATCAGATAGGGACCATACACTCCACTGCACCTTCTCTGTAGGCTGAGGATGAACAGTCACGGTGTAGGACCAAATGGATGAAGTCAAAAATATTGGGTTCCAACATTTACCAGGAGCAAGAAAGGGCTTAGGAATTAAAATACATGAGTTGAAATCTCAGCTCTGCTAAGAATTCATTATAGGAGTATTGGCAAGTTATTTAAGCAATCTGAGCATCAGCTTTATATTCGTAAAACAGGGATCATAATAATTGACTTCAGGTGATGGCGAATGTTAAAATTTCTTAGCACATTTTTCTAGGGACTCAGAATATTATGGCTGTTGATTTTGGTAGATAATGTTCAACTTTTCCTATCCTTGGTTTAAGCTATCCGAGGGACATTTTTTCATGCAGTCTCACACATCTGGGCTGGGGGTAGGGACAAATCGTCCCACTGTCATGAGATGCTGGCCAAGGTTTCCAGGACACATCCTGGGGACCTTCAAAAACCCCTGAAGAATGATAAGTGATCATTTTTTATTTTACTTGTTTTATAGAGAAGTACCGAGTAAGGGCAGGACACACATCCACACCCACCCCTACACACACACACACATGCGCGCGCGCGCGCGCACACACACACACACACACACACACACACACAATCACCAAGTGCAAGTGTTTGGTGTTCTGTGATTTAGGAGGGTAAAGGAAACTTCACTCCCAGCTTTACCTATAAATTGCCATGTGCCCTTGGTCAGGACTGCTAACCTCCTTGTTTCTAGGTTCCCTCATTGACCAAGTGAGGCTAATGCAAACCTTCTCTCCCTCACCAGATTTGTGTGAGCTGTAAACAAGATACCAGGTTTGAAAGCCTTTTGAAAAGTATAAACTGCCTCTCAAATACAAGAAATTGTTTATAATGAAGAGTTTGCAAAACTTTCCATATGTCTATTTGTTTTACTTAACAGTAAGTAATGTGCCTTACTGTTTGCTTAGAAGTTGCTGACTTTTAAAAGCCTTATTTAGTTTAACCTGATTTTTTGTAACAAGAATGCATTTTAAAGCAAATTAAAAAAAAATGTAGCAAGGAAATTGTAACATAAACTTAGAAAGGATTGACAATTTGTTAAATTCACTTATATTGAAAAGTCAGTTAGTTTATCTTACAGGACATTTCCCAAATTAGAAATAAAAGTTTTCCCTTATGAACTGTGTATAAAATATATGCAATAATGAAGTTAAATCATTTAAATAATGAATTTGGTATAATTCTAGACGTCCGGGATTTTGCTTTTTGTTTATTTCATCATAGCAAATTGTGGTTCAACGAAAACACTAGAATGTTGTATGCTTAACTTCAGTGGTTGTAATGACTTTTCGTGATGATTTTTATTGGCATAATAATAGCAACAAATTCCAGAGCTAACTTTTTTCAGATATAAATTAGTCATAGGAAAGAAGGGCTGAATCAGAATCAGACAGATCTGGATTTGAGTTTAGACTTCTCAGCTTAACTCGCTCTATGACTCTTCTAGTTAGCTCAGTTTCCTCATCTGCAAAATGAGGATAATAATACCACTTATCTTGTTATAAGAATTAATGAGATCATTCATGGAAAGTGATTAGTTCAGTGCCTGACACCTGATTCAATTTCAGTAAATGACATCTGCTATCATCATCCTCCTCCTCATCATCATTTTTATTTCCACAGAGGAGGTGGGTGGGGAAAGCACCATTCTCCCATGGGAGACTTGTCCTCATGGAGTAGAAGTGATTCCCCTTGGCAGAAATGAAGGGCTCAGAATGTCTTCTGATGTGCATTTAGCCTGGAAAGAAATTGATGGGCAGGCTGATTTATTATTTGACAATCTGCTGCCACGTCCACAACACTAAACTTCCTTTGGACACTTCTGACATTCTCAGCAAGACATAGAGGGCTCTATGTACTAAGAAGAGGTTTTCATTGACTCAGATAACAGTCAGAACCTCCCACTCATGCTTTCACTAAAGATTTGGGTTTTAGAAATTAGGATAATTTCCATTCCTCAGTTGATCTACATCTCTGCAGATCAAGAGTCATTTTTTCCTTTCAGAACCTTTATCTTTCTGTAAATAGATATTAACAAATTTGATCTCCATTCTAGTAAATAAGATAGAAAGGAGTTTTAAAATCTTAACATTTCTTCAACAGACCATAGTTATGTGTGAAGGCATGAAGCTATTTCTATGGGCATGTGCCCTTCAGTTAATAATGACAACATTAAAATAACAACAGAAATTACACAGCAGTACTAACAGCTAATGGTTTTGATTCCTTTTTATGTGCTAGGCACTGTGCTAAGAATTTTACATGGATTGTCTCGTTTAATTTTCATAACAATCCCATGAAGAAAATAATTATCCGTATTTTACAGTTGTTGAAATTGGCATGAGGAGGTTAGAAAATCTTCAGTGTCATAAAGCTAGTGAGTGACAGAGCCAGGGCCCAGACAGTGCATGAAAAAGACCTTGATTTCATGATTTAAATAGTCACATTCCTTTTTCAAGGGTAATCGGAGTTGACTGTGAATTTTAAAATCATTAGGGGTGCATGTATTTTTCGTATTTAACTATGAACCTCTGATTTGTCCCTCATAAATACAAGTTTGTATAGAGCCAAGAACCGGGAAGTTATTTTTTTTTTTAATTTATAGTTTCTTCCTTTTCATCACAAGGGTATTTATTTGCTTTTCATGATATGTCCCAAACACCTTCAGTAACTTAGAGAGTTTGATTCTCTCATTTGTAGGGAATGGAGATCCACAAAAGGATACACAGCAGCAGTGGTAAATTTAGTTAAAACTTTCCTTTGCATCCACGGTTTTGTATAAAGTATCTCAGGATTTCCAGTCACAGCTCTGCTCCTGACCAGCTGTGTGCCCACGGGCAAGTTACTTAAAGGAGCCTCAGGATCCTAGTCTGTAAAATGAAGATAATGATATAAGTATCTCCTAGATGAGTTGTGATGATTAAATGAGAATCAGTTTAAAACCTCTGGCAAATTAATTTCCAGTTCTGTCTTTCCCAATACACAGAGAGGACATAAACACTCCCAAGAACCTCTTCCCAAAGTTGTAGTTATTCCAAAGATG